TATTTCCCACCATAGGGGCCACACTGGGAACCGCTGTAGCTTTACAGTGTGACAGCTCATTCACGTTCAGGTACCTCATGGTTACAGATAGGACCACTCAGAGCCATCAAATACAATCCCAACTGCAGAAGAGGGAGGGTTCTGGCATCCTAATTGCAGACCAGAAAATGCTCCCAGAGCATCTGCATGCCAACAGCATGGCCTGGCCCAGCACACCGTGGCAGGGAGCCGCACTCCCCCCGCCGCCTTGTGGCTTTCTCGTCCATCATTTTCTGGGAGAGATCTAACAGCGTACTCTGGCTGTCAGTAGCACTCTTGAATCTGCTCTCATCTTAGTCACACTCCTGCTTAAGTGAGTTGTTCTTGACTCCCTGGACACCAGCAGCCTTTCTTCCTGACAGCGGGTGAGAGGCTGGCAGCCTCTTGACGTGACCATTCACTTCAGTGCTTTCGAAAATCCCCGGCTGCCCCGCGACCCAGACATCTGAAGATTTTGCTTAATAGACTCCGCTGCCAGAAGGTGTGCTGGGACTTGGCGAACCCAGCCTTGGGACTTGCTCTGCATGTGCTGGGGTAATTCCCTCATCAGTGCCTACCCTTGCCTTCCTGGAAAAGGCTGGCCCTCCCAGGGGGAAGAAAGGAAAGGTAGCACACCACCTGGCACACAGCAGGAGCTCAGTAGACGATATCACTAACCGAAGTATGGAGTCTGGTAAAATGCAAATTCAACATGTATTCTAAGAACAAAAGGCAAGACCTCAGAAATTTCCTGTTCTTAGTATACTCTTCTGCCCTGATGGTACTTTGGTGGGAAAGTTTGTAAAAGCCTGCTACCTTCCTACCTCCCACCCCCACAGTTGCCTAGTTTGGGGAGGGTCGGGAGGAGCGAGAGGTATATATTTGACAAAGTATGAGTTCCCATGTGCAGGGTTTTTGTATGTTTGTTTCAGATTCCATGTGCATTTGCTAGTCTCTGGCAGTTGGCAGATGGAGCCAACGACTGTCTCTCACACATACTCCTGAAGGCCTCTAAAAAGTATGAGAATCAATCACCCCAGCACCCCAAGAAGCCAATGGAAGACCAGCATCGACTCTGCTGCTGTTTTTTGTTTGTTTTTTAGACACTCTTGTTGCCCAGACTGGAGTGCAGTGGTACGATCTCGGCTCACCACAACCTCCACCTCCCGGCTTCAAACGGTTCTCCTGCCTCAGGCTCCTGAGTAGCTGGGATTACAGGTGTGAGCCTCTGTGTCCCGCTAATTTTTTTTATTTTTAGTAGAGACAGGGTTTCACCATGTCGGCCAGGCTGGTCTCGAACCTGTGACCTCAGGCAATTCACCGGCCTTGGCCTCCCAAAGTGCTGGGATTATAGGCGTGAGCCATCATGCCTGGCCTCTGCTCCTGTTTGCATCAAAGGACACAGTTGCAAGATAGTGAGCTGGTCACCTGGTCAATACCCTCAACCCCTTCGCCAGCTCCTCCCTGCCCTACCTCACAGTCCTCTTGGAGAATAAGTGCTCCCATTCCAGGGCCACCTGCTGGGAGTTCACATCCCAAGCAAGAGCAGGCCCTTCTGGAGAAGCCAAGATGGTGGTCAGCCTTCCACTGTCGCTTTGAAAGGTACATTTTATTCCCTGAGTTTTGTATAACTCCACTTGGCTGCTTTTCTCTTAGTGCACAGCCAGGTAGAAAACCAGATTCGTCTGACGAGAAGGGCTGTATTTGAATATAAAAACAATGACATCTTTCAGTTACTACATGGTAGAAAATCTGAATTGCTTCTCAATCTTCATTCTTCCCTTTCTTTCCTATAATGGAATCCCAATGATTTCGCTGGGCTGATTGCCTTCTGGGCTGAAGACAGCATTTCCCAGCCTCCTTTGTAGCTAAGCATGGCCATGTGACCATATTCTAGCCAATGGGAAGCAAGCTGAGGTGCCAGGTGTCTCTTCTAGGAAGTGTTCTTGAGTAACGGAGGTGGAAGTGGAGAGACAAGCATCCTCTAGCTTTCTGGCGTGGAAATGAATGTGATGCCTGGAACTCTACCAGTCAGCTTAGACCAGGAGGGGAACATTAAGGATGGAAGCCACATTTTAAGTATGGCAAGAGCTGAACAACAGAAGCCCAGGTCCAAGATGAATCCCTGGAGTTGCTGTTCAGGTCAGCCCTGTCTAGTGTTTGACCTCTTATAGATGACGTAAGTAAACTTCTCTTTCATCTAAGCCACTATTACTTTTGAGTTTTATTTTTGTTAAATGCAGATGAAATTAATATTAACTGATTTAAAACATTTCTAGTAAAACTGATGCTCACCTCCCACCAAAAAGCGGACCACATTCCTTCTAAAGCCTCCTGTAGCCCTGGGTTTGAGTAGCTTGGAACTATGGACAATGCAAGGGTTTAAGGTCAGTGGATTTGGGGTCCAAATCCACCTATCACTTAATAACTAGAGGACCTTGAGGATTTTTTCTATACAACCAGGTCATAGTGATACTTTTTGTCCTAGGGCTGCTATGTTTAATCCAATATATATTTACTGACTGCCTGCTTTGTACTAATTACCATATTGATCCAGAGATGAATAATACAGTCCCTGTTTTCTAGTGGAAATTGTCTTAAGTGCTATGTTAGGTTTCAGCTAGCCGACTTGGTCTCTGCTGCTGGGAGGTTTTGAAGATGAGACTGAAGTTAGATCTTAAATGAGGGATTCTTAGATGGCTTCAGAGGTTCTGTAACATGAGTTCCTTCTTGAAAATTTTCACAAAAATTGTGTGTGTGTGTGTGTGTGTGTGTGTGTGTTAGCAAATCTGCATTTTTACTGGAGGCAGTGTTCATAATTTTGTTTTTTTTTTGAGACAGAGTCTCTCCATTGCCTAGGCTGGAGTGCAATGAGGTGATCTTGGCTTACTGCAGCTTCTGCCTCCTGGGTTCAAGAGATTCTCCTGTCTCAGCCTCCCACGTAGCTGGGACTACAGGCACCTGCCACCACGCCTGGCTAATTTTTGTATTTTTAGTAGAGACTGGGTTTCACCATATTGGCCCGGCTGTCTCAAACTCCTGACTTCGAGTAATCTGCCTGCCTCGGTCTCCCAAAATGCTGAGATTACAGACATGAGCCACCGCACCTGGTTAGGTTTTGAATTTTTATTAGAGTCTAGAATGGTTCCGTGGTCTTAAATGGAAGTGCTACTGCAAGCTAAAAGAATCCAGGTAATCTTGGTATGGCTCTCACTTCTCTTCCTCTAAATGGCTTCCTCCTTGAAAAAGAATCGGTGTAATGCAGAGAATGTGATGGCCGCATAAGTTAATGGGGCACTGCTGGGCTGCTTCAAATGGAAGATATGCCCACCTGAATCCGTCATCTGAGACTGTGTTTTGCTGCTGTAACAAATGATCTCAATTCTTCAAATCTAACAGCAACAAAGGCTTGTTTCTCACTCAAACCAGTGTCTCTGTGTATTACTCTGGAACCCAAGTTGATGGAGCAGGCTCTCTTTGGGATATTATTGTCAACCTTGAGGCAGGAGGAATAGCAAACGATGCACTGGCTCTTCAGCCTCTGTTTAGAGGTGACATGCATCAGTTTTGCTCACATTTTACCAGCCTAAGAAGTACACAATCACTCCTGACCACAGAAGATTGGGATGTATAATCATCCCACGAGAAGGGTGTCAGAGAGAGAGGAAATATACATTCTGAGCATTGATCGATCTACCACATCACTTTATTGGGCTACAAGAACACAAACAGAAGTTGACCAAAAGTAAGAAGGAATTAAACCCAACTCAGCTTCCTCTATTTCACTCTACTCAACCCTCTGCAGCCAAGGAGACATCCTGAACAGAAAAACCTGGCTTTTCACTCTTGCCATTTTGTTAAAATTGGAAGAAAAGCAAAACCAGGTGGATGCACTTGGACTTCTTCCCAGTGCCTCCCATTAGCCAAACCCAATACAGGTGAGGGAACCAGGAGTTTCACTCCTCAGAGACAGCCTCCTGGAGGTTGCCAGCCAAAGCAGGGCAGAAAATGGATGGGGTGGGCCACTGTAGAGACTCCCAGCACGTTCATCCAGTAGTCTCACTGCTTCTGAGCAGATTCACTGGCTTCATGTATTATAGCAGTTTCAGCTTCTTGGAGACATGTTTTCCAGAGCAGAGCCTCCTGACCTGCTTCCATCCAGGCTGGGGGCCCTGCTCTCACAGTGGGATCTCCTTGACTGTCATCCTGGGACTCCCTTCCTTCTTTTCAGTATTGTCTCTCCTGCTTCCTGCAGGCCCCATCTTTCTCCTTCTTTGCTTACTCCCTCATTTTGGTGGAGCTCATCATGCCGCAGCTTCCTGAGATAGGATGTGTGTGTGGGAGGTACATTCTTTGAGACCTTTCAAGACTAATGATGTCTTTATTCTTCCTTTACACTTGACTGATGGCTTGACTGGCAGAATCTCCCAAGAGGAAGTGGTTTTCCTTCCTCACAGCTGATGACACTGATGAGAAACCCAAAGCCTGCTGATTCCTGATTCTGCGCATGAAGATTGTTTTCTCTCTGGAAACTTAAAGAATCTTCTCTGTGTCTTCAGTATACTGAGGTTTCATGACTATGCTCTTTGATGTGGGGCTATTTTCACCACTGTGCCAAATATCCAACGGGCCCTTTCAGTCCTTCAGTGCTGGGAAATTTCCTTGAAATATTTCACTGATGACTTTCTTTTCTTCACTTTTTCCCCATTTTCTTCCTAGCCCTCCAGCTATTCAGATATTATAGCTCCTCTAATTTTCTTGCAATTTCTGTCTTGTGTTGTTCTGTGTATGTATCTCTTTATGCTTTCGTTCTTCTTGGATGGAGATTTCCTCATGTTATGGGTTGAATTGTGTCTGCCCAGAAGATTTTTTTTTTTTTTTTTACACCAAAAGGAAACTTTATTTAGTCATCTTTTCAAAGCAATCTAGCTTTAGACAGAACAAGAAAACGACACCTAAAAGAACTGGACGGTACAGCTGGACAGACGGACAGACAGAAGGGGCTGCAGCTCTGGGTCAGATCTTCGCCATCTTGGAGATGAGGTCATCACAGATCCTGGTCAGCTCCTCATTCTCTTTAGTCTTCTCCTCCACGGTCCTCTCCAGTGACTGGACCCGCATCTGCTCCTTCCTCAGGCTGGCCTGGAGGGCCAATGCTTCCGCCTGGGCCTTGCTCCGGACCTGGGCAATCTCCTTGTTTGCCAGCTGCAGCTTCTCCTCGGCGTGGGCCTTCAGGGCCTGGTACCTCTGGCCTGCCTGGGTGACCCTCGCCAGGTAATCCTCTGCACACTTCTTTAGTGACTCTTCATTCTTGCGGTAGCCCTCAATCACCTCCTTCTGTTTCTCAAAGCGTTTGAAGAGGTCAGAGAAGGACTTCTCCATGGAGTTCAGATCTGCAGTCAGCTGGTCTTTTTCTTTTAGAACTTTCTGGATGTTGGCTTTGGCAAGTTCCTTCTGTTTCTGAACCTCCTCCATGACCTGGTATGTGACCTCCTCGAACCTGTCCATGATCACCCCCAGCTCCAGGTTCTTCCTCACACCTGCTCCTCAGCTCCTGGTTCTCCTCCTGTGCCGCCTTCACCTGCTCAGGCCACACCTGAGTCAGCAGGCAGGTGGGCTGGACAACCCCTCCCAGGACCTCCCCACAGCGTGGGGCCGGCCCACCCCGACGTCCCGCCGTGTCCAGGTCCTTCTGGCTGTACTGCAGCAGGTCCACTATAGGCCCGGTGGACAGGGGTGGGCCGCCAGGTGCAGGGACACCTGGGGGTGGGTCTGGAACCGGAGCATCCAGTGCTCCCAAGAAATCCAACTCCACAAGGGTGGCTTCCCGCGGACTTCCTGAGGGAGGATCCTCCACACCGTGCGTGCTGCTGCTGGTCTCTGTGGCCACGGGCCCTGGTCTTGAGGACTGTCCTTCAGGAAAAGGTCGAACTTGAGGTATAAGGACTGCTTCCTCAAGGCCGACTCCTTAAACGAGGAAGCTCCAAACTGCTCCAGGTAATCCACCTCTGCCCCTGTGCCTAGAACCTCAGCGGGGTCTCTGAAGTGCTCCTCTCTCAGCTCCAAGGCAGGCTGCCCCTGCTGATGGGTGGGCACTGGCTCACTGTCCGGACAGCCCATGGGAAGCGAGGTGCTAGCAGAGTCTGAGGCTCTCTCCTTGCTCTCTGCTTCTGGGGTCTCAGCTGCCAACTGCACCACAGGTGTGTCCTCTGCTAAGGCTGAAAGCAGCTGCTGGCTCAGATGGGAGCCCGGCTCCCCCGTGGGACTCCGTGGTTCAGCTGCCGGCTGGCCCAGCCTGGTCTTGGGGCTTTCTGGAGGCTGGGCCTCTCTGCAACTAGACTTCGTGCTACCTCCGAACGGGGTGAAGTTTGGGTACTCCAGCTTGTCCCAGTCGAGGTGAAAAGAGCCCTGAGAAGCCAGCGTGGGGGTGGTGCCATCGGAGAAATCAAATTCAAGTTTTATGGGTCCAGTCCTCAAGGAGCTGACCATCTGACCCGAAGCCACTTCCTTCAGAGGACTCAGGGTTGGGGCTGTGCTCTCAGGAGCAGAGGTGTGCGCACAGGTAAGGGTCTGCGTGCCATCTGCTGGCATGGGGGTACCCACACTCACGGGGCAGGCCAGGGCCTCGCTAGGCAGACCCCCAAGGGGCGCTCCTCCGACTGCTTCCTCAGAGTTCACACCAGGAGGCCAAGTGGCCACTGCTGTGGGCGCAGAGACCCCACCAGGCCTGCATTCCTGCTCGGCTCTGTGCAGAGGCTCCACTCTGTGTTGGGACTCTGTCCTGGGATGGTCTCCTAGGGGCTCAGAGGTGGGTGTCGTTCTCTTGTCTAAGGAATAAGAACGAACATTTTCCTCCAAGGCTTGCTCAGGGCTGCCAGACAGTTTTCCTGGAGACACCATTTGGTTTTCAGAACTTCCTGGGTTCTGGGAAGAGCTTGAGCAGTCCAGGTCAGCCAGGGCGCCCGGGCCAGGTTCACCGGCGCTGCCACCCCCAAAGGCTGGGCCTGCATCCCCCAGGGGTTTGGTGTCAGCCTCCACTGGTTTCCACCTCTGCTGCCTTTCGCCATGGCAGGACAGACCCCAGAAAGCAGAGGTCTTCCAGAAAAGCCGGACCCTGCCTCGACCGCTGCCACTCTGTCCTCCATGGGTGCTGTCTTCATCCTCTTGAAGTCTGCGCTGGGAGCTGGCCTGCTCAACTTTCCCTGGGCCTTCTCCAAAGCTGGTGGAGTGGTCCCTGCCTTGCTGGTGGAGCTGGTGTCCTTGGTCTTCCTGGTCAGTGGGCTGGTCATCCTGGGCTATGCTGCTGCTGTCAGTGGCCAGGCCACCTACCAGGGTGTGGTTAGGGGACTGTGTGGCCCCGCCATTGGGAAGCTGTGTGAGGCCTGCTTCCTCATCAACCTGCTCGTGATCTCTGTGGCCTTCCTCAGGGTGATCGGGGACCAGCTGGAGAAGCTGTGTGACTCCCTCCTGTCTGGCACACCTCCTGCTCCACGGCCCTGGTACGCAGACCAGCGCTTTACCCTGCCCCTGCTCTCCACGCTGGTCATCCTGCCCCTGTCCACCCCACGGGAGATCGCCTTCCAGAAATACACAAGCATCCTAGGTACGCTGGCCGCCTGTTACCTGGCCCTCGTCATCACAGTGCAGTACTACCTCTGGCCCCAGGGCCTCATGCGTGAGCCCGGTCCTTCACTGAGCCCTGCCTCCTGGACCTCTGTGTTCAGCGTCTTCCCCACCATCTGCTTCGGGTTTCAGTGTCACGAAGCCGCGGTCTCCATCTACTGTAGCATGCGTAAGCGGAGCCTCTCGCACTGGGCCCTGGTCTCCCTGCTGTCCTTGCTGGGCTGCTGCCTCATCTATTCACTGACCGGTCATATAGTGCATTGGAGGCACAGAACCCGGGTCCCAGGCACGGCTGGCTCTGGCTGGCCACTTGACTCCAGTCTTTTTTTCATTCACCATCGGAACCTCCATCCAGTTCAGGAAGCCCTTGGGCTACAGTGAGTCTACCAGGCAGCCTTGAACTCTGGTGTGCTATGGTTTGAGTTTTTATCCTCTTTAAAACTCATGTTGAAATTTAATTCGTGATGTGGTAGTGCTGAGAGCTGGGGCTGTAAGAGGGGACTGGGTCATGAGGGCTCTGTCCTTTGAACGGATTAATCTATTCATGGATTAATGGATTAACAGGTTATCATGGGAGTGGGGTTGGTGGCTTTGTAAGAGGAGGAAGACAGACCCGAGCTCACACGCTCAGCCCCCGCAGCACATGACACCCTGCGTGCCACTTCAGGGCTCTCTGCAGAGTCTCTAACAGCAAGGCGGCTCTCACCACAGGCAGCCTCTTGATCCTGGACTTTTCAACCACCGTAACTGGAAAAAAATAAATTCCCTTTCTTTATAAATTAAAAAAAAAAAAAAAAAAAAAATGGGGGTCCTAACCCCCATTGCCTATGCATGTGACCTTATCTGGAAATAGAATCTTTGCAGATGATCAGGTTGAGATGAGATCATTAGGGCAGGTTCCTAATCCAATATGACTGTATCCCTATACAAAGGGAAAATTTGGATACAGAGACAAACACACAAACGGGAAGAACACTGTTTAAAGAGAGATCTGGCAATAAATCTACAAGCCAAGGAATGCTAAAGAGTTCCAGCAACCCACCAGGAGCTAAGAGAGCAGCAGGGCACAGACTGGCTGTCACAACCCCCAGGAGGAACCAACACTGTCGATTTTTACTTCTAGGCTTTAGAAAAGTGAGATGATACATTTCTGTTGTTTAAACCACCCAATTTGTGGTACCTTCTATCAAGTTAAGCCTCAACTTTAGCCTAAAGCTGCCTCCTTACATATTTTACATTCATTCTAAAGGTTTCTCTGCACACAGTGAACCATAACCCAATCGGATGTGGAAAGAGACTGTAACTCACTCTTGTGCCAATCACAGAGTTTTGGCCAGTCACAGGCTGCCAGCTGTTTAAACACCCAGCTACAGCCAATACAGCTGTTTCTGTGCCTCACTTCCGTTTCCTGTACCTCACTTTTCTTTTTCTGTCCATAAATATTATCCTACCATATGGCAGCCCCGGAATCTCTCTGAATGTGTTCTGGTTCAAGGAGCTGCCCAATTTTCAAATTGTTATTTGCTCAGACTCCATTAAATTTAATTTGCCTAAACTTTTTCTTTTCACACTTGTTATGGCAGGCCTATCAAACGAATATACTTCAGTGTTGCCTGTAGTTCTTACTATTAAGTTCTTCATTTCTTCCATCATGTTTCAGATTTCCAAGAGCCATTCATTTGTACATGTCCTTTTGGTCACATCCACTTTCTCTCTCTCTCTCTGTCTCTCTTTTTAATTAGTGAGGGGTTTTATCATATTGTCCAGGCTGGTCTCAAACTCCTGACCTCAAGTGATCCACCCCCCTTGGCCTCTCAAAGTGCTGGGATTACAGGTGTGAGCCACCACTCCCAGCCCTGTCACATCCTCTTTTTATTTTATGCCTGCAATATATTCTCTTTTCTCTGAGAAAATTAATGATGCATATATTCAAAGCTTTCTTTTCCCAGACTAGTCTCTGTTGTAAAGTTCCTTGTTTCATATCTGTCCTGTTAGAGGCTTTTCTAGGTGTGCCAAAAATCTGTTTAACATGGGAGGAGGGCTGGGCACAGTGGATCATGCCTATAATGGCAGCAATTTGGGAGGTGGAAGTGGGAGGATTGCTTGAGGCTAGGAGTTCAAGACTAGTCCAGGCAACATAGTGAGAACTTGTCTCTACAAAAAACTTAAAAATTAGTTGGGTGTGGTGGCATATGCTGGTAATCCCAGCTACTCAGAAAGTTGAAGTGAGAGGATTGCTTTAGCCTGGGAAGTGGAGGCTGCAGGGAGCCATGATGGCACCACTGTACTCCAGCCCAGGCCACAGAACAAGACACTGTCTCAAAAAAAGAAAATAAACAAGAAGCGTGGAGGACAATAAAGCTGGAAACACCAACCCAAGAGTAGTAGGCATTAAACTTAGAGGGATGTGGTGGGCTATGTTTTGGGCAAACCCAAATATAAATGTCTTTAGGTCTTCCCCCATGGCCTAGTCAGTCCTTCCAGTTTCCTGCCTGCACAGCAGTCTGGAGTCTCGGTCTTCATTATGTAAAGTCACATATCTTGCCCTGGCAACCTCTGTGTTTCCCTCTCCAGAGAGCAAAGCCCTACCTAGAGTGGACTAGGGAGGGCAGTGTCCTGCAGCCAGGAGTGAGGGCTGGGCCTAAGGAACAGATCTGGGAAGCCATCTACTCCTTTAGCATCTTTAACCCATTCCTTATTTAGTCCTTCTCCCTCCTCACCTCCACTTCTGGGATTATAGGAGCAACAAATTCCTGAGCTTCTGGAAGATTCGATTGGTTCTTGGTTTTTACAACTTGGCTTAGGATTTGGCTTTCTCAGGGCAATGTCTCCCTACACATCTATTTTCAGCTTAAAATATTTTCTTACTGTCTCTTCTTCATTCTCTCAGTCCTGTGGGAGTTTAAGTGGTTCCAAGTGGGAACAAAATGACCTGTGTTCAAGGGTCCAAGTCCTAAGGACTCTTTTAAAAATGAACATTCACTTTTATGATAAAAACACTCAACAAATTAGGACCAGAAGGAAACTTTCTTAATGTGATAAAGGGCACCTATGAAAAATCCACAGCTGGCATCCCACTTAGGGATGAAAGACTGAATGCTTTCCCTTGAGATCAGGAATGAGACAAGGATATCTGTTCTTGCCACTTCTGTGCAACATTGTACTGGGGCTTCTAGCCAGGAATCCAGGAATTAGGCAAGAAAATGACATTAAAAGGCATGCAGAGGCCGGGCGCGGTGACTCATGCCTGTAATCCCAGCACTTTGGGAGGCCGAGGCGGGTGGATCACAAGGTCAACAGATCAAGACCATCCTGGTCAATATGGTGAAACCCCGTCTCTACTAAAAATACAAAAAATTAGCTGGGCATGGTGGTGTGTGCCTGTAATCCCAGCTACTCAGGAGGCTGAGGCAGGAGAATTGCCTGAACCCAGGGGGCGGAGGTTGCGGTGAGCCGAGATTGCGCCATTGCACTCCAGCCTGGGTAACAAGAGCGAAATTCAGTCTCAAAAAAAAAGGCATGCAGATGGAAAGGAAGAAGTAAAATTATCTCTATTTGCAGATGACATAATCTTGTATACGGAATATCCTAAGCAGTCTGCTAAATACCTGTTATAGCTAATGAACAAGTTCTGCAAGGTTGCAAGATAAAAGACCAATACACAAAAATCACTTGTATTTCTATACACTTGCAGTGAACAATCTGAAACTGAAATTAAGAAAACAATTCCGTTTTACAGTAGTATCAGAAAGAACAAAACACTTAAGAATAAGTTTAACAAAGAAGTGCAAAACTTCCTTTTTATGGGTCTGTTTTTGGACTCCTTGCTCTCTCTATCTGATATATGAATCATTCCCTTTACCAATGCTACACCATTTTGATTATCTTCCTCCAGTTTTACTCTTCTTTGCAAAAATTGTCCTGATTAGTCTAGTTTCTTTGCCTTTCCATAGAAATTTTAGAATTGACTCGTCCACATCAGCAACAACAGAAATCCTGCTGGAGTTGTGTTAAATCTATCGGTTGATCTGGGGAATGTTGATATTTTTAATCTGTAGAATCTTCTGATCCATGAAGATAGTATGTCTCTCCATTGCTTTAGGTCTTTGATTTCTTTCATCAGTGTTTGTGGTTTTCAGCCTACAGATCTTATATGTATATATTGTCATTTTTATAAATAAATGTATAATACACATTATTTTTATGAATGATATAAATACAAGTTGAGTATCCCTTAAAAAATAAAGTAAAATTTTAAAGTGCAAAGCCTATGCTTTTAAAACTATAAAACCTTGTTGAAAGAAGTGTTTAAAAGACCTAAATAAATAGAAAGACACCTCAGGTTCACCAACCAAAAGATTTAATATTGGTAACATGGCAGGATTCCTCCAAATTGCTCGACAGGCTCAACACAGTCCCTATTCACTGACTTCTTTGCAGAAATTAACAAGTCAATCCCAACAGTCATATGAAAATACAAGGGACTCAGAATAGCCAAAACAATCTTAAAAAAAAAAAAAAGAAAATTAAGGGGTTCACACTTTTTGATTTGAAAACTTAGTACAAAGCAACGATAAACAAAGCTGTCTTGGTACTGACAGACATATGGAGCAATGGAACAGAACTGAGAGTCCAGAAATCAATTCTCATGTTTATGGTCAATTGATTTTTCATGAAGTTACTAAAACAGTACAATGGGAAAATAATAATATTTTCAACAAATGGTGCCGGGACAATTAAATATCCACATGCCAAAAAATAAAGACAGATCTCTATTTCACATGGTATAAAATATTAACTCAAAATGGATCAAGATCTTAAATGTAAGAGCTAAAACTATAAAATTCTTAGAACAGCCTGAGCAACATAGGGAGGCCCCATCTCTACAAAAAATAAAAATAAGTAAATTAGCCAGGTGTGGTGGTGCAAACCGGTGGTCTCTACTACTTGGGAGGCTGAGGTGGGAGAATCACTTAAGCCCAGGAGGTTAAGGCTGCAGTGAGCTATGATCACACCATTGAACTCCAGCCTGTGTGACAGAGTGAGATCCTGTCAAAAAGGAAAACAAAACGAGACAAAAAAAAAAAAAAAAAAAAAAAAAAAAACTCTTAGATGAAAACAAGGATAAATCTTCCTCACCTTAGATTGGCAATAATTTTTTACAGGATACCAAAACAAAAGCAGCTAAATAAACATTGATAAATTGGACTCCATTAAAATGTAAAACTTTTGTATTTTTTTTCTTCTTTCTGGAAGAAAGCTAAGCCTTGAAGTAAAAACTTCTGCATTTTAAAGGATATAATCAAGAAACTGAAAAGATAACTCATGGGAGAAAATATTTGCAAATCATATGATAAAGGACTTGCTTATAGAACATTTAA